AAAAAAAAAAAAGGGGGGGGGAGGATTTAGTTTAAGGAACTAGGAATGTTGCCCTGTTCCTCTCTCACTGGGCTAAGCTGTCAGGGAGACCGTAACCCACGCAGGGATCACCCCAAACCACATGAGTCTGTACGGTCATGGCCTGTGGCAACAGCACACTGGCAACCAGCACCTTCGTCTTGGCACCTAAGGGATGATTTAAGGACAAGGGTGGAAGAATTTTGCTGGAATTTCTGGCAGGAAGCCACTTACTTCCCTGGGGTAAAATTTCAATCGTCAAAACTGCACCTATAAAACCTGCTCGTGCGAAATAGACACACAGCCATGAGGCAGGGTTATGGGCACCATACTGGTCACCTGAAGTCACTGGGATCCCAGGTGGGCGGGGCACCGTAAAATCTTATCAACAAAGCAGAAACAGATCGCCTATGTGGCTATCACTGGAAACCCACATTTGCAACTTTCCCTTTTCCTGAATACCTGTAAATAGTGACTCCACAGAAAGGCCATCGAGCCAAGTTTTCAAGGTCCTCTGTGTGGCTGCGATGGGCCACCCCAGTGCTCTGCCCAGTCCCACTCTGAGTGAGTGCTAACATCATACAGGACAACACCTTTCTGTGACTAGGCTTTTCTTTAAGATTTTGAGCTCATGAATTGTTTTAACGAGCATGACGCTAGAGGGGAGGGATTATTTTAGTATTTTATCATGGCTTCTCCTGAAAGAAACTACTTTTACGTGAAGACGGGAGAACCTGGAAGGTCTAGAAAAATAATGGTACTGTAGGACTAGCCCCGTTGCGCTTCCTTCATCGGTGGCCTCATGTCTTCTGCAAACTCTATTTGTTATCTCCTGCCATTTTTGCAGTCTGGACACATGGAAATGCCAGCCACCATCCCCGCCCCCCACCCCAAGAACGACAATGCAGCTGGTGAGAGACCAGGACCAGGCTCCGAAGCAAGCTTTTCTACCTAAGGAGGCCTCTTTTCATACCATGGCTGGTGAACACGCAGAGGAGGAACTCACTTAACAAATTAACGATCTACAAAAGAGAACACATAGTAGGTGCTCCGTACAAATGTTTCCTCAACAACTTTATAAAAGAGGAAAACTATAAGCCAAGTCTCCATCATGTTGTTTCAAAGAAGGGTCTGAGTATCCACTTCATGTATCTTCCCTAGCATAATCTTAGGGAGGCAGGAGGAGTGAGTTTCAAGTCAATTAATAGAAAAGGAACTGTGGAAATCTTGGATGGCATAAAAAAAATGAAATATACTAAATTGGAAGTAAACAAGGTGACCTTCGTGACAGGTTCGTCCCATCTGCTAGGACATTCTCAGACCTTCTGATGTAACATGTAGCTAAAGAATGATGCTGAGTCATTAAACGGTAAGAACAGTAAAACCCAGCCAAATTTAAAAAATAAGAAAAATCCATCGTAACGGGGTACCTACTCATGATCATTTTCTATACTGAGACAGTTATTATATACCAGTGATGGGTCTAAGTAAATAGAATTACACTTTTAATTCAGCAGTAGTCTCTTAAGATGTGCTGGTTAAAAAGAGATGTATAACCCCACAAAAACTTCCCTCAAAGTTCCTTCAACATACCACCTCCATCCCACAGCACAGACTGATCAAATTCCTTCACTCGGCTTGTCATTTACATATGTTTCCATCACCAAGGTGTCCCCATACTGAAATTTATTCCATTCGATGTCTGCTGACCAGTAAGAGTAGAGCATCTGAAGGGGACAGTGTAAGTCATCTTTAGCCTATGGAGTAAGCACTCAAGTGTTTATTACATGGATGGATGGATGGATGGATGCATGGATGGAAGAATGTACCAGATGAACAAGTGTTAAAAGCTTGAGCTATAAAATGAGGGAGGTGAACTGAGTGTTCTGATAAGGGCCCTCCCTATTCTAACATTCTGTCCAGGTATTCCAGGCAGATATTGATTGTGTCAACAAATGGTAGGATTAGAGGGTTTCTATGATAACGTAATGAAAAAACATGGGCTGCCCCCACAGAAGCACTTCCATGCCCCACTATGTATCTCAATACAGATGGCTAAGGTCTATAGTCTCCTCTCTTTCTGAAATCAAAAAGAGAACACAGCTCAACAGTTTAAAGGAAAAACACGGAATCCTATTACCACTGTACCAAAAGGCCTCGGTGACCATCTGGTCCAACGGCTGACGTGATCAATGTCATCCAGAAAGGTTAAGTGATCTGATCAAGGCTGCATGGCCAAGGCCAGGCTGAGGCTAGACCCAGGACTCCAGCTCCCTGGGCTGTGCTCTTTCAACCACTCCAGGCTGCCCTTTGAACTCTCCCATGGTAATTAAGTCAAAAGTTCAAGATTTATGTGAGCTGCGGACGCTAATGACTGCCAACTGTATTTTTATTGATGCAAAAATAAAAAAACAGAGCCTGTTTCAGCTCCTAGATTAAGTCTCACAAACTCCCTAAAGCCCCACTAAGGCCTCTGTCTTAAGTCTATAATTAGGGCCTTTAAAAATATCACTAATCAGGACATTTGAATGCTTTGACCCTGACTGGGTGGGGGTGGGAAGAGGTCTCTGAGCTCAACCATACAGTAGACTGAGGTTCGTGTTTT